AAGAGTTCTTAAGCATAAGATTATGCCATTTGTTAGACAAAGCATGGATCTATCGACCTTGGCAGAGAACAGGTAGCGCCTTTAGGAAAGACCAGGGTAGTTGCTTGGTCTCCAGAGAATCCCCAAAGTCTTCCTGTGTCAAATCGAGAACCAGGTTCTTGAAAATGTGAAAACCGGAAGGGATAGTATTCTGACTAATTGTTGGATAAGAGCCATCCCCCAGTCCAATGTCTCAAATTCTTTCTAAGCCAGATTTGCAAAATAAGACCGTCGGTCCTCATTCAATAAAATGCCCTTCCGCAGATTGAGTCGTTTTTTCCAACTTTTACCATCAACCCTGATTAAGGTATAAAGAAGCTGTATTAGTTGACTTTTCAGAGATCAACTTATTAGGGCCTCATCCTTATAAAGACTACCGTCGCTTGCCAAAACAGTGACGCGGTGGTGCAGTGGTAGTTCCGCTGCCTCCGAGTTCGATTCCCCTTGGATCAATTTTTTTTTTTGCATTTTTATTTATGACACAAGAAACACTTAACAAAATCCCCTCTGATGGATCTCAGACTGGGGCGTAAACTTTGTTTTTCTTTTCTCAAAAGTGGTCGTTGCTTGAGTCTGAAAAGTTTGTACATAATCTCCACTGATTAACGTCTATAGTCCGGTGGCATTAGAACAACTGTTGTTTGCATCTTAAAAGGTGGGCAGCAAAGGGAGTCTGCCGATTTAGGGTATCGATGAGGGGATGTGAGCCTGTGTCCCAATTTTAGTCCATTGACGTATAGACCATTGATTGAAGGTGATTGTCCATGAGTGATTACATTTAATTGTCTAACTAATTCGAAGGCTTTTGGTTTCTTGTCTCCTTGTATAATTTGAGAGGAGTGACCTCATCAAGGCCACTCAGATGACGCATCTTCAAGCAAAAAGTAGTTTCGAAACGATGAAGCGATTTTAGGCTAATTCAAATCAAATTATCTTATGGTATCTGGTTGAATTTGCATGAATAAGCGAACAATCAAAGCATCATAAGAAAGAATATTGATTGTAGGGAGTAGTTTAGTAACCAATTTCTCGATTTCAGCTCTCATCTACGCTGAGGCCACGGCCCAGTGCCAGTCATTGAGTGGCTCGTTGGTGAAGATCCAGAACGCATTGGAGAACTCCTTCCTATATGGACATGGATTCGAATGTAAAGTGGAAAAGAGGAAGATGTTTTACATTTATTTTCTAGTTTTCAATGGTGACTCGCAGTATATTGGCGTTCGGCGAGATGCTAATGGAACGTGGGTTTACGAGGACGGATCACCGCTCACATATCGAAATTGGGGTCCCGGTTGGTAGGCTCTAAATGACTCTATGACTGATAGCTCTATCACGTGGCAGGTATGGCTTCTAAGATAGGCTTTGGCCCTATGATTTATTGATAATTAATGTTAATGGGTTATTTTGACATCTTTGAAATCAGGATCTCTTTAGAACATCCTTTAAAAGGGCCCAGAATTTAAAAGAACCAGATCCAAGCATTGAACTTAAGTTGCGGTCATCGATTCATCAAGATACTTGATTCTTGCTTTTGATCGGCATGAACTTGCACGAGGAATTGAAATTTTTGGACTCGATGTTCTGTATCAAACTTATGAATTTGAAAAATTGGCTCAAATAATCTTTACCTCTCAAGTGATCGCTTGATCGACACGTTTAATCAAAAGCGAAATTCAATGTAAATTTCTATAGGAGAACCATCGAACACATCAAATTGTGCAGTCCTTGCCTCACAAACTACGCAATGGAGATCAGCCGACTGTATTTTGGCAAGGCCATTCTTCTGTGCCGTCGATATAAAGAGAGGATGCCCCACCGATTGGACCTATGTTTCAGTCACTGACTCATGCTATTACTTCCAGGTTCTCATCTTTGTCCACGGGATGATATGTCCACGGAATTTCTAGTTTTTTTACCAGATCTATCAATAATATCTATCAATAAGCATTTACCATAAAGGTTCTCGAGAAATCAGAATCAAGCCGGCGATCAAAATTCTCTAACTTTCAGAACACAACCCATTTTGTTGATGGCTCTAACTTTACCACATATAATTTCACGGATGCTGAAATGGCGTGTCAATCATTGAACGCAAGAGCCCATCTCGTTTCAATTCATTCAAAAGATGAAGATGATGTGCTCATCGGTTTGTTGGGAATCACTTTTTCATAGCCACTTTTCAAGAATCTTTGATTTTCAGTGGATAAATTAGGCAATAAATAACCTCATAACCAACAATTGAAGGCACTGTTTTATGTTTCTTTTTCAGCAACCCAGCGCAGATTCGGGAAACCGCTTGTTTGCCAAGCGTGGTATACATGGATCGGTTTACACGGGAATGCATTGGTTGGCAGTATGCAATGGACTGACGGGACTTCACTCGATTATATCTCCAATCAGTTGGACTGCAATGTTGGCGGATACTTTTTTGTAAGTCTCATGAAATCAGTGAGTAAATTTTCACTTTTTGGTTTATTTAAAAACTACCATAATCTTTTTTTAATCATAATTTATCAATGAATATTCAGTTTTCCATTGCATCAATCTTGAAATTCTTGTTTTGATACTATCCGGGGTACTGCTGTTGATGTCTATTTTGTTCGGTACTGTCTTACATGTTTAGACATGCAAGCCAGTCTAAACAGTACTGTACAGTACCGATTGCAAGCCTGCCAGTACCGCTTAACGGTGCTACTCAATTACAGCGACCGTTTTTCCCAAACTTTTCCCAAATTTCTCTCAATAAAGAACGGCCAATGCAATCGAAATGAATCATTTAAAGCAACCTATATGCAAATCTTGGTATCTCTCAAGGTTAACATGAAATTTTGTTTTGATTAATTACCCTTCTGTTAAAAAAAGTTGAATCATGTGACGCGAATTCTAATAAAGAAAAGTGAAAAGTGATTCTAAGCAAAAAAAAGTGCATTTAAAGAACCTAGGAATCAAATTTTATCTCAAGAAACGACCAGTGCAATCAATAAGTCCATGAAATTAATCGTATGCTAATTTTGTGCCAGTGTAATCGATTAGTTCCCGCTTAACATTAGCAATTACGTTGTGCCATTACTATTGTTGCATACAGGGATTTCTATGTTTGAGCTCTATTAAATTCATTTAGTATGCAATCTCATCTTGCGGTTCGAGTGAATGGGCATGCACGTTGAACAAGGATACGATATACAGCCGATTCATTTGCAAGATGCCATCGACATAGGGAAAGATCAGAATTCTTTTACTGATAAAATCTTGTTCTCTCCGAAAATTTACAGCTGAATATCTACTGATTAAAGAATCCAAGACTTGAGTGAAGTTCAAAGGGTTCTCTCTGATCGAATGAATATGTAATCTTGATGCAAATCAATTCAATCAATCAATTATAACTTATGATTATTATAAATAAATCAACATTATAACATAACTTATTATAACTTATGACCACTACGTTCTGGAGAAAATATCAATAAAATCTTTTATATCAATTTAAAAACCCTTGCGTTTTTGAATTAAAGAATTAATCAGTTTTTGAGTTTTTACAAGAAACTCAAATAAATTTACTTTTCAGTTACACACATAAATTTTGTCAGTTTGTCCCTGCCTTCCAGTTGGGCTTATCTAAAACAGAAAATCTGTCAGTTTTGTCAATGGTGCAAGTGAAATAGATAAAACTTTCTGCTCTAAACATGTGCCGCCATAGCTCAGTCGGTTAGAGCGTGGGTCTAATAAGCCCAAGGTCGCAGGTTCGACCCCTGCTGGCGGCAAAACTTTTTTGCCGTTTTTTTCGTTACTGCAAAAGCCTAACGAAAAAGCCTAACGAAAAAGCCTAATGAAAAAGCCTAACGAAAAAGCCTAACGAAAAAAACGGCAAAAAAGTTTTGCCGCCAGCAGGGGTCGAACCTGCGACCTTGGGCTTATTAGACCCACGCTCTAACCGACTGAGCTATGGCGGCACATGTTCAGAGCAGAAAGTTTTATCTATTTCACTTGCACCATTGACAAAACTGACAGATTTTCTGTTTTAGATAAGCCCAACTGGAAGGCAGGGACAAACTGACAAAATTTATGTGTGTAACTGAAAAGTAAATTTATTTGAGTTTCTTGTAAAAACTCAAAAACTGATTAATTCTTTAATTCAAAAACGCAAGGGTTTTTAAATTGATATAAAAGATTTTATTGATATTTTCTCCAGAATCGTAAACACATTTATGTGCAAGGACCATCCAAATAACGTGTCATAGAGCAGCACCGCTTTTGGCGTTCAAGAACCGAGACATTAAACATTAAAGTTTGTTTTGACCAACTATTGTCCCGATAATCTGGCATTTATTGTCATATGTACTAGGTTGATGCAGAAATTTCGCTTTTTTATAAACATTAAATTAAATCAAAATTCCTTTAGGTAACGATTTATTCCAAACAATAAGCACCATTGTTATCTATAACATCTATAACAACAATAAGCCCCAACGTTGCTTTAGATTGCACATCCTCTTATCGAAGAACTCTTGATTCTGTGATTGAAAGTAGTTGGTCACCCAAGTCTCGACCATTCTTAAGCTGGCAATTTGCAAGGGAATTTTGCATCGATCTGAAGAGGTGAAAAAAAGTTGGTGATAAGTTTGGACTATATCGCGCATGCGGTAAGACCTTCCATCTTGATTCCTCTAACTCCATACAAGAAGTTTCTGAGCCGGCGCGTTGTCACGGAGAAAATTGACAGTGGAAGGATTTAAGCCCTTTTGCCCCAAACTTGGTCAATCTTCTTGAACTGTTCAATAAAACAAGGTAAATCAACTGTTTTTCCGGCTCGAATAATTCGAAATAAACAGGCCTGTTGATTACACACAAAGTTAGGAAAAAAGAAATGGTTAAGAAAAAAGAAATGACCTCCGATCTTCTTTTCATGAAAGGAAAATCAGTGAGCTCGCTCGCTCGCCCTTTATCAGTTGTTTCCTTTCACCATGAACGATGGCGATGAGATCAATTTTCGCGATGCTACTCTAATTGGAAATGGAGCCTTTGGATGCGTATATCTCTTTCGGAATCCGTGAGTTTCTAAATAATAAGATCAGATTTCTATATTAACTCTGACATTTTGTTGAGCTTTCGTTCTATGTACTACCCATTAACTATCATTTTGCTTTTAGGAGTCTCCAACTAGAGATATTTACTGGAAGCTCTTGGTTAGAAAGCATACATCTCTCCTAAAGAGGCACTGGAAAGGATTCGAACCTCCATCTCTAGATCCGCTCTACCATTAAGCTCTACCAACGCTCTACCATTAAGCTAGCGACACTATGTGCGAACCCTTAAGAGAAAGTCTCATATGCCCAGTGTTTTGCCAAGAATAGTAGAATATAAAATATAAATAGAATGGCCTAAGTCCAGAGATCGATTCCCAAAACTCATTTCCAGAACGTTTGTGGTCAAAGTGATGCAATGTGAGGGAGACAGATTTCAGCAGGCGACAAAACGCAAATACTCTCAAGCTGAAGGCGAGATTTTAAAGAAGTTAGATCATCCAAATATCATTCGATCATTTCGAACCCTCGAGATTCTTCATCATGATCAAATGTCTTTTGCGATTGTGATGGAATTCTGTGAGCTGGGATCATTGGATCAAAGTAAGCAATCTCAAAAGAGTATGAATCTTCTAAGGAAAACCGCTCAAAGAAGCAGATAAACCTATGCTAGATAAGCTTGTTAAGTGGGTTGGATTGATCCGGATCGACTTTTCTAAAAACTCATTAAACCAGAATCGGAGGTCAATGAACCGAAAACTAGAGAAAGAGGGTGAACCGGGAGTTTCAAAAATAACGAATCAGTTTGGACCCTTAACAATGAGACTAAATTTGTCAATTGTAACCTTTATGAAATCAATTATAGTCGTCTTTACACCAAAATACATTTACACAATGAAAACGGTGGTTGAATGGAGCACACAACTCTTCTCGGCTCTCATTTATTTACATGAAATGCATCGTCTCACCCATCGCGATGTTAAGCCCGAAAAGTGGGTCTCTTTTCGCGAATTCATAAAACATAAAAAGACAAAAAAGACAACCGGAAAACGCACAATAAAAGAGCTTTGAATGGAAGATAAAAGAGTTGAGTCAACTACTGTAATTCATCCACTCTCACAATTCTTTTAAGTTCAATATTAGCATCCTTGTCACGGGCGATTTCATTCTAAAGCTCGCCGATTTTGGGACAGCAAAGAAAAACGACAACACTCGCATTGGATCTTTTATTGGAACGACTAGATACATGAGTCCATCAAGAGATCGGGATAATGTTGATCCATTTGATATGAGTCGAGCCGTGGTGAGTCATTTTAAGACACTAACATTAAATCAGTAGGCCGTTTCTTCTTTTAAGTGTTTTAATTCAGAGAGCTTAAGATCATTTCATCAAAAGGTGTTCAGATTTCTAACAAGAACGATATCTACGCGATGGGGTTGGTCTTGTGGGAACTTATCGAAAGAAAGTAATCTCCTCACCTAACTCTATGCTCTGTTTCATTTAGAAAATCCCTACTCGATTATGATACACGAAGACAAAGCTTTGATTTGGTGAAATTTCGTCATCACGTGCACCGGGATCAATTGCTTCGAATTGTGGCGCCGAATTGTGGAAAAGAGATCCAGAAGATCGTCATGAAATGTACAGAGTTTCGTGATGAAGTAAGACCGAGCGCGAAAATGGTGCTCCAAGAATTGAAAAGGATCAATAAGGTTAGTATTATCAGAAAGCATCTTGGGCTCTCTTATAAAAAGTTAGGGAAAAGATTCGAACCTTTATTTCTGGATCTCGAGACCAGCGCTCTACCATTAAGCTACCAGCATTATGTGCAAAACCTCAAGAGCAAGTTTTATATGTCCGGTGGCCGATCCGAGAGACAGAGACCCGTTCTTTGTGCCCTGGTCTATCCAATATTTCTGAGGATTGATCGGCATATTATCTAGAAAATGTGAATCGAATATTGAGGCCATTTTTCTAGGGTGACCGGTTCCTTCAGGGCTTGGATCCTTTGCCAAAGGTGGTTGATGAGCTAAGGCACCTTATTCGGCCGATCGGTTTCAACAATCAACAGAATCAAGTGGCGATTGGTGAGGAGACAACCGGAATGGCCATGCTGCCACCCACAATATCAACCTTTGCTTTACCAACTTTTTGCGTAAGTTTTTTCTTGTAAAAATTTCTAATTGATAGAACCGGGTATTTGTTATAATTTTGGCTTCATGAAGGGTTTATTGAAGATTAGTTTAGCCCGAAGAAAATACCGACGAATCATTCAAGAAATTTGGTGTCGATGAATCGCTACCAAAAACTCGAAATCAAAAGAAAAGCACCAGGCGTCTACGGCAACGATTTGATGGTCTCTTTATCTTGGACAGGAAGCACTACAAGATCATTCGGAATCTAGTGATTCTGCTTTGTGTGCTGATGCTGGTTGGATCAATTGTGATCCGTGAAATCCGTTCGACACCAAACGTGAACGGTTTGTTTGGATGCACCTTGTTTTTCTGTAATCTGCATATACGGCCTCTTTTCATTATACTTTCCTCAACTTATTGTTTATCTTGAAGTATTAATCTTTCCCTTCATTGAATTGGCATTAAGTATTTAGATGGGTCAATGGCGCAACCACCCACTACAGGCAACGGGCTGCGACCACCGGCACCGCAAGTACCATCATCTACGATCCCGCCAACACCACCGCCAACACCAGGACCAACCCTGCCCTCAAATTTCCCGCCTATAAGAAGTATAACATTTAAATTGCATAAAGCCTTCCACAAATCGACTATTGATAAAGAATCCTTTGGTACTTTTGGTATCCCCCGCGAAACTCGTGCTTGGGGTGCATAACGATATTGATACAAATGAATAAATGAGGTTTTCATTTGAATAAGCAACCGGTTTTTGTATGGAAATTTGAGGATATAACCGAGAAGTACTAATCCTTTTCTTATAGCTGAACCTCCAAGTCAAATCACCACAATCACTGATGAAGAAGGGACAGAGCCACTCATCTTCTCGCAAAAGGTTTCAAATCAATCAACAATTATTGAGAAAATTTAGATCCATCGTAACTCGGACGGTGAGTGCTTTGAGTACTCGTGTCTGGGTTGCCCGGGTGGTGGTTGTTGTAACGTGCTTGTAAACCCTTGCCCGATGAGTAACGTACTTTTCAATCCCGGCAATAACCCAATAATCTACAAAAACTCGAATGGTGATTGCTATCGGAAATTTTGCAATGGGCGTCCAAGTGCATTATGCGATCGACCTATTGTTTTATGCATCGATGCGGCAATCTACGTTGGCAGAAGGAGATCTCGTTCATTTCGATCAGTCTACTCTATCCATGATTAGTGATCTAATGGAATCTCATCAATCTATGGCCTCTATTTTTGATAAATTTTTTTTATCATCCAAATGTTTCTCATTATAACAAGTATAACAATTGAAAGATGGAACTAGTAAAGAGAAATTAGGGATCAAGATTTGCTGCTCAGGAAATTTTCTCGTTCATGTCTAGAGAATCTCATGATGAATCAAATAAACTAGGCCTATCCCCGTCCGTTTACAACGTAAGAAGAGTTATCATTGAATGTTTTCAACATTCATAATTTGAAATTATTACATTCAAAAGTAAAATCCGGAAACATTTATTAAACGGTGCACAAATAGGCATTTCTAAAGTAACAATTGATTGCCACTCATTTTCCACTCGATGGATCGATTGCTTCACAGCCGACAAAATGCTTGCAAGCGGGTTCAAACCGGTAAGGTAAAGAACGGAATGCAAGCATACTAACCATTAGGTCACCAGCTTAACTTTTCAAAGCTGCGCAAAAGCAATTTGACTATCCATGATCGAAAAAATCCATGCTTAAAAATTCCGTCTAAATTTTGGAGCTGAATGTGCTGAATTTCAACATGTCACAAACGACCTAGATATTCGGAATTAGCGCAAAAAACTACACCAGAAAAACGATGTCTAGGCTCAAAAGCCAGGTGTAAATCGAAAAACATCTCTAGTAAGATGATTTTGGTGCTTTTCGATTGAATTGGTTTTTATCAAGTAAAATATGGACTTTAGTTTCGGAGAAATGAACAGTCTAATCGAAAAATCCGATAATTTGACCTAAACGATCCAAAGAAAGTAAAGATTTCGTTATTCAACATACATTTTTAGACTCTATCAAAACACAATTGGATCGAGATTCCAATCGAGACTTATCTTGCAACATGTGATCTAGATTGGACTAGTGGCGATGAATGGTATTGTTGTTTATTGCATTTGTCCAGAATGTGGATAAATATCCTTCAATTAAACAACGAATTCAAAAACATGGTTTTCTCAAATGCCATCCGATGAATTAAAGTTGTTTTCGATAAACTTTTCTCGGCTAATCGGAAACGGAACCTCATAAAATGAAATCTAAAAGATATATAGACGACACTTCTTGTGCAATAACTTAAGAAGAAATGTAATACCTTCATGGTGGCTGCCGAGTTGTCGAATTGTACGCAATAGTGGGGTGCAGAGAAGATGTCGACCTAAAGCAAAAAGTTAAGTCAAATCATTTCAACTTTCAATGTTAAAAACCAAACATTACTATTTTGCGGTTGGCGAAGAACCTGTGTCCGTCTTGAACGACTTGAAGAGCGCGAGCCATGAGATGTTCATCCGCTCGCAGAAGTTCACCACATCTTGTCCAAAAAACGTACGCAACTCCACGGGAGGAGACCGAAAAGAGGTATCCAGTTGAACGTGCCTCGGAAACATTGCCGAATGGCCATGACTTTTTGGCCAACCTAATAGCTACTCCAACGAAAACATGAATATGTATACCCTTGCCTTTGACCTTTTTTCATTTGCCGCTTGCATTGCGATGATTTTCACAATTGTGACCTCACGTGGTAGAATCCTAAAGCAACAAATTAATGCTCTAACCGACAATTAACTAGGCTATCAAAACACTCACTTGTTATACGTCAAGGTTACACTGCACTTTGTTTCGGGGACCTTAGCGATATTCAGGAAGCTTTCAGGGTACCTAAAATCACAGCAGTTCCTCCATGCTAGATTATAATGATCATAAAGATTAAATACTCACTTGATTTTGTAGCAAAACATGAGCGAGATGGTTTCGATATTCTGCTGGCCACGATCAACATAGCCGCCCAAAAAGATGAAATTGGCGTCAGGTGGAAAAGTGGTCTTTTCGAAGATGCGCAAGAGTCGGGATACTAAAAAGCAACAACAATTAACTGAGTACTTTCAAATAAGCATACCTCTCCATGGATATCCTCGCAAACAACAATTGGTGGCCCAACTTCGGTGAGTGATGGTTGATGCATAAAAACATTCTTTGCGAGGCAACACAGAGACTTCAGCTCGTCTTCTGAAACCTAAACAAAACAATTAAAATGAAGCCTTCTGAAGAGTTTCCGAAGTGAAGACGTATAATTTTTCTCAATTTTGAGCGATCTAAAGCGTAAAACTATAAGGAGCTGGCTGATTGGATTCGAGAAATGCGAGCGAAGAAAGTGCGAGTGACTTGAAAAATTATTGTGACATCACGTGGTAGAATCCTATTCGATAAAGTTCTCGGGAAAGCAAAAAGCACTCACGCATGCCGTCAAACGTCCTCCGATGATTCAAATCTTGAGAAGGCGGCTCATCATGTCGTCGATGTCGGCTTGCCCCATATTGATAAGAGTTCCGATCAGCTTTGAATAGATGATGCCATCTAAAGAGTTTGAACTTTCTTTCAATACGGATAAATACAAATTGCGTGTTTGAAGATGGTATTTTGAATTTTGTAAACCCATAAACTACATTTACCCTAGTAGGGTTTATGATGCATTACGATGCCATTAGAAAGTTTTGATCTTATGCCAGAAATCTCTTGGTAGTGACCCATATGGTGGTGGTGACCATGGTGGTATGAAAAATTTCTTGTATAGGGGTCATGATATGGTAAAAATCAGGACAATATATTAAAAAATTCCCACCCCAAAAAACCAGTTTTGCACCATACCTACCATAAATACTCTAATAGAAGAGCACCGCCCCCGTACACTCGCGTAGTCGATACTTTTTTCGAAAAGATCATTTTTTTCAAAGCCTCATAATTTTTTCCAATCGCACTTTTTGTTTTAGCGTAATGCTTCTTATTAAACAAATTCTCATTTTTATCCCTAGCTTTTACTTTGATGAATTTTGTAGAGCTTAGACTTAACTGCTCCTAAATCTGATATTTCTACAATTTGGTTCATTTATATATAGTAACTTTATCTTTAGTGTTCGCTCCATTTCTTATTGCTACTCATTTTAGGTAATTTCAATATGTCGTCCAAGAGGAAGAAAAACGACAATTCGGACGAAGAAAGGTATTTAAAAAATAAAATTTATTGTATATTATGCTATCGTTTTTTAGTGATGGAGTCAATTGGGAGAAGGAGTATTGGAAGAAGGTTGAGCAGCTGACAGAGCTGGAGCAAAAGCTTGAAACGAAGGACGAAGAGCGGAAGGAAATGGCTGAGAAGAATAGAGAGCTGGAATGGAAATTGGTATGTGCTTTAATACTATAGATTCTTGATAAAATGCCAATATTCTAGAAACATGTCAACGATGAACTCCTTCGATCCAAGTCCAAGTCAGGGCTAAGTGCGAGAGGTGTTATCGAGTGGCTTGAGAAGTTTGTGAACTTTTCTGATTAGTTTTTCGTCGTTTTGAAATATTATAATCTAAGCGCTACTAAACACATATGCTTCTTTCTAGAAGCTATAAAAGATTTGATATTTGATTTATTATAATTTGGTTTAGTTTAACTTTTAAGGCCTCCTTAGCAATTAGATTTAAATTCTATATAATTTTCAATTTCTTAAATTTTAGAAAACAGCGAACGCCGGATTCTGTCAGACGGGGTGTCCTACACGACCGATGGAAATGGATTTTCGCGAATGATCCTACATTCTGCAATGAAGTTCGCTCTTACGATTCTCGATACACTGCTCAACGAGTTGCAAAGATAGTTGGCAAGATTCTCTTCAATACTGCCGCCGATGTACAATCATTCGACTTGAGAAAAGGACTTGAGATCCCAAGCGAGTATTATACCACTGATCAACAGGATGTTCTTAAAGCGGTTTGTGCTACTATTCCGTGTAACTTTTCTACTGAATAAAGTTTTGTTTTGATTTGTCCGAATCCCCCGTTGAAAAATCTCATCGAATCATGGTGTTTTGGGTGTTTTTATAAAGAAAATAGATCGGAAAAAGAAGTTAAACAACGAGATGTGAAAATTAGTGTTTATGAACCCACACGATTTTATCGCATTCCCGCCGCACAGCTTTTCCTCTGTGTGCTCTCCTTTGATTCAGATTCAAATCTTCTCAACCCCTTTCTCGCTTTTCTCCGATACATTACACGAACAGGGCTCATCCAAATTTTGTTAAAGGCCCTCGTTTTGCGAATCTTCTTTTTTTGTGTTCTTCGTGGACTGGATTAGGATTTTTGCAACCATCGTTTGTCTTGCTTTTACAGCAAAAATTTTTTTGCAAAAACGAGATGTTTTTAAGCCAAATTATACCTTTTTAGTGCTAAAATAAAACCAATACTTGCAAAAACTCAAATTCTATTCTTTGAGCTTGTTTTCCTCTTCTCACTTCCTTTTTATCGTGTTTTTACACGGTCGTTTTGTTTTTCTTGACGGGGAGCTGTCGTCTCATATCGTGCCCGCATAAAATTTTCTTTCCGCCCGTTGACACTAAACTATCGGCGGGTGTTTCGAAGAAGAATTTCATAATTTTATTCACGGATTTTTTGTTGTTTTGTTTTTCCGGCAATAGTTTCTCATTTTTAGGGCTGATTTTGGAATGGCGAGGAGTGACATCAGCGAGTCGTGTTTACGGGAACGCGAGCTATGAAATCTCGGACGACCTTCAACGGCGGACAACTGCAGTGAGTTTATATGGATATTTTATGTGTCAAAGTAAAAACTCGAGCTTTTCCATATGGATATCAATAAAAGATTAGAAACTTTCACAATAAAATGAGCCAGAATTTCGCCAGCATATTAGTTTTTTCAACTTAAAATGGTTCTTTATTTTTTTAAGAGTTTATCATTTGACTTTGATTTTTCTTTTTAAAAACCCCTCTACGCGTCAAATAGTGAATCACTGATTGGATTTGCCGGCCCTTCAAGGGAAGCATTAGGGAGTAGAGAAGGCTGGGGGAAAGAGGAGTCTGGAAAATATAGAATGCATAGTGCTGCAAATGTTGTGACTTTATCTCTGAAAACTACAAAAGACTCTAATTCTGTCAAATGTTTAGCCCAATGTAATTCATTTTGTCTAATCAACCCGTTCATGCGATAATTCATTTTTATTCCAGGTACTTGAAAGGCGGTACGATATTCGGGATCGGGCTCACCGTGCCGCTACGATAATTCAACGCGCCTACAGACACTACAAGATGAGTTCGAGGTTTAAGCAGGTTGGGATTAAACAATCTATTTTTTATCTATTTACTTACAAATTTAATTGTAAAAAAAAGTTATTAAGGCTTTAAATATACATAGTAAATAATTCAAGCTTTTTAGATGACGAACATTCCCAAGGAGCGAGTTCGCATTCCAATGGTTTCACTACTCCAGATCGTACAAGGTAGGCCGTTCTTTGTTCTTAGTTGTAAAAAAAGTTAAATTCTTGGTCGTGATCTTTTCAATTACCCACGTTGTGCAAGCTCTATTCATTTGGAAATCTAAATCCCCGTGTTTTGTGTGTAAGCAAGCCCGTTAACAAGACGATCCCTAACGGATAGAGGAAAGAGAGGCAGCTTTCCGATTGGCTAGTTATGATGAGAACCGGCCTAGTTTTCTCGTTCAGATCGCTTGTCTCTCCTCGATTTTTTCATACGGCTCTAAGTGATTACGCAACGGTCTATCCACTCATTTCCATTTTTCTAGAAAAATTTGAGTTATTGTTTGAAAGAACTGTTTATGAAAATGATTTTGAGTTGTTATTATTTTAGATATGCACCAACGACATCATTGAGCGCCCAATTGCGAACCGATCGCACTACTCATTCAATGGTTAATGTAAGTTTTGGACTGGAAACTCTTGGAAAATATATCAGAGTCGTTAGATTTTAGTCAACGTTTTATTTTTGACTTTACTTGCCTAATTTTCTTTATTTAGGATCAATCACGAACTCGAAGTCCTCCATCTCCGTCACCGAGAGGCCGACAGGAGTACAATATGATTGGTGGGTGACTTTACAAAACGTAAAAAAGGTCTCTCAAACACTTTTTCTGGCATAATTTAACCTACTGATTACGTTTCTGATCAAATTGGAGTAAAATTAAAAAAAAAATTTTCTCCAATAGTCGATGGCTTGGGCTCCATATAGTGATGTACACTATAGAAGCACGCACTTTGAAGCCCCGAAACTCGGCTTAAAACGCCTTTTCCCAAGTTCTCGTTGTGTTTTTCGGAATCTACACATAAAACTACCCCAGAAAAAGTGGTCTTGTAAAAAAAAATTGACCCCCCCCCCGCCAACTACCTTAGTACCAAAGTTTTTTAGCAATTTGGCACAAAGTTTTTTTTGGAAACCTTATATATGTGGTTACATTTTTAGATGAAGTCGTCGCCGTCGCCTTCGTCGTCCTCGAAGCCGCTCAAGAGGAAGAAAAAGACAAAAGAAGGTATTAAAATAATAATGTAATTTATTGATATCATGCTATCGTTTTTAGTGATCGAGCCCGTTCGGAGGAGGATCGAAAGAAGAATACTGAGCTCAAAGAGACGGTAGAAAAGTTGGAGAACAAGAATAAACAGCTTGAAAGGGAACTGGTATGCTATTTAATACTATAAATTCTTGATAAAATGTCAATATTCCAGACAGAAGTCAACGGGGAAATCAAACGATTTAAATCAATGCTAAGTGCGCGATGTGTCATCGAGTGGTTTGAGAAGTTTGTGAACTTATTTTCTGATTACTTTTTCGTCTTTTTCAAATATTATAATCTAAGTTCTACTAAACATATGCTTCTTCCTAGAAACTACGAAAGATTTGACATTTGATTTATTATAGTTTAGTTTAGTTTAGTTTAACTTTTAAGGCCTCCTTGACAATTAGATTTAAATTCTATAGAATTTTCAATTTCTTAAATTTAGGTTCCATTTGCATATGGAAGAAACCATGGATAAAACGTCATATGAAGAAACCATGGATAAAACGAAGTCGCAGGCAAATGGAACCACCTTTGCGCCTCGACAAACCTCCCGCGAGTTGCCCAGCGCCGCTTTCCCAATTTCAATGCCAACGATTTAACAATGAAAGTGAAAGGTCTAGTTCTGGATATTTACGAGAAGACTTCCGGTCAAATCCACAATTCGTTTCTCGGTCCTCGTTCGCGTCAAATTGGAAATCGACAGACATTCAAAGGGGGTTGAAATCATCGAAACAAGATATAGCACTGACGAAGTCAAGTTTTGGAAGACCCTTTGTGAGCACATTGGTTGTACTTTTACTCTTTTGCTGTGATTTATTAAGAGCCCATGCCATATTTTTACGGAATAAAATAGTGCTTGGTTTGTCTTAAGATCTGGCCAAATCCCTAATTGAAAAATCCCATCAAATCATACCGTTTTGGGTGTTTTTACAATGAAAAAATCGGAAAAAGAAGTTAAACAGCAAGATGTGTAAATTGGGAGAATGGGCTGTCCTAGAAATGCTTATAGTGCTTATATACTACTAATCACAATAAACGAAACAGATAGTGATTGTTGCATTTGTTTATTATGAATCTCATTATGCCCTCTCATCTCAACGTTTAGCAACTGAAGTTTGTGGGCGGGGCCTGTTGTGCGCAAAAGACGTTTTTCCACGTGTGCGCAAAGGTCGTTACGGTACTGTCATGGTCCCGAAATTTTTACGCGTAATGACCCTTGAAGCATAAAAATGGATAAATGAACCAAAACGCTTAGTTTTGAATGAACGAGAAGTTCTCCATTCTACGAAAAATTTTTGAGGAGCATCAGTTTGTGGCCCTTAAGAGGCCCGTTGGGTTGGGTGTTATAGCTTGACGAAGTCATTCGCCTCTAATCCGTCTCATCGTCCTTGGGCTGGCCAGATTTGTGCTTTGGAAGGAGAATCGGTTGAATGTGCGGGACAACGGAATGTGACATCGGAATCCTTGTGGGAATGTGACGCCATGCAGCAGTCTCTCGAGCTCCTCGTCGTTCTTCACAACCAGCATCAGATGTCGTGGACTAATAGTGGCCTTCTTGTTATCACGAGCTGCATTGCCGGCCAATCGAGGATTTCCGCGACGAGATACTCCGGCACAGCGGCGAGGTAGACGGAAGCGCCTCCACCGATGCGCCCTCCATATTTGCCTTTCTTGAGCATTCGGTGAATTCATCCGATGGGGAAGATGGTTCCGGCCCGGGTTGTCCTTGATTGCGCCTGCTTCTTTCCTTTTCCATATCCAGTCGTTTCGCTTCTCTTCGGGAACCGCGGAGTTAAGGCTAAAATTAAAAAGGCTCAGTTATATAGGGTCTAGTGCGAGGCGGCGGGGTTTAACTTGCCAATGGCAAATTCAACGTATTTCTATAGTTTTTCATTGCAAACGTGACAAACCAATGAATTCTTTAACCTGTAGAACTTTATTGCATCGCTTGCTTGTAGTTTTTGTTCTTAATTTTACACAAATTGTCAAAAATAAGCAAATTTAACGAGGAAAATGTAGATGAAGAACATTAGCCCTTTGATTGAATTTCAAAGCAAAACACAACAATGATGACCATATTTGAAAAATTGAAAATATTTTTTCACAAATAACGAACTAAATCAACAGATTTATCATACCCGGGTTAAAAGGAAAAACGATCAAGTAGTAAAAACTTAACGATTATCTAAAACATACAAAACCAACAATTAACATGTCACAAACAAGCAACTCTCTTCAACAAAAAGCTTCAAAGCCAAACCGACCATCTGGAAATTTCTAAATAATTTCTTTTTAAATAACAAAGGCATGAAGTTAAAGATAGTTAATAATACAGAAACAAAAATCAATTAACCAAAATATGCAAGATTAACAATTAGTGTGATTAACCATTTGGGTTCTATTATAGGGATGGGGGTCTATTTTTTTTCATACTCTCTCCAGGGTGGGGTTCAATTACCGGAAATGCGGTAAAGCTATTAATCAGGTTGATTTTTTGTAGGCTTTGAGAAGTAGGACTCAAATACCTATGACGGAGTTTCCGAAAACTTATTCTATATTCTATTGTTGATGTTCTTTCATTTTCAAACAACGCTTGAATCTTTCTCTTTACAGACAGTGGCAGTGTCTGTTTGTTTCCCTACTCCAATTGCAAGTGGCATCGCGAATCTCTACCGCTGGCTTCCGGAAGACTTCTTTGCAATAGGTTCCGGTGCGTTCACTAATAGTAAATATGAGATTTCAGTTTTCGGCACGATATTCTACTCGATTTGTCTCCATTCAATCGTCAACTGTTTGATTGTGATCTTTAGCGCAAAAACCTATAGACAATTTTTAAAGAATTTGGTGCTTCGATTCGGTGGTTTTAACGGTGTCACGCCTGAACCCATTTGACGTCTGCCATCAATTCAACAAGTTTCTTCGATCCCAATTTCCCAACTTATTGCGAAAGCTCGAAGGGTTTGAATCTATAAAATCTATTGTTTGGGTTTCGACCTTTTCTCTAAAATATGATCTTCACCAAGTAAAGATTTTCGTTATCAACAAAGAATCAAGAAATATTTACCGACAAAAAGTTGTGACGAGAACTTTTTCAGCGAATTGTCAATTTGTCCCCTATTTCAAGTATATATGTATGTATAGTTTCACTGAATTTTCTTATTAGAATAAGGAGCAATCCATGAATAAGAACCGTGAAGTAAAGGAAACAATAATCGTTTTAAAAGCTTTAACTTAACTGATGAGAATGGATGATCTAGTCTTATCTCTAAAATCGTTTTAGAGAAATTTCTTCAAGTTTCCAACGTAGAATGCAGTGACTTCCTTTAGCCTCAAACGTTTGTTTTCTTTGTAGTTAGAATATGGTTTAGGCAGTATTTGCGGCGATTAAATTTGTCTGATAAGAGGCACAACTGAGGTCTTATCTACCCCTGGAGAGACGTATTGATCATGTGAAAAGCATTGATTCTTTTTCCTTCCCTTTCCCTTCGTTTATTTCAATGCAACTTAGTTTTTTCATGTTTTTATATTTGCTTTATTAAACACTAAATCCCTTCAGATCTTCATTTCTCTCAGTTTTTCAGACATCTTGAATCAATTTATAATAATAGATTATATTATACATTTTATATCACATATAGATAGACTATATTAGGTTCACAAGTTGAACGTGCCTTCTATTTGTTAAGTTTTATAAGTTTTATGTTATCAAGCTTTATGTATGTATATTTAGGCTTTGATCAATTCTGCTGATAGATGATGGAGCGGCGGAAACGAAAGGAAGACGACGATCAGAATCCTTTAAAGAATCGTCAATTATCGACCGAACCAAAAAAAAGAGACTTCGCGAAAGGTTGCAAATCATTTTGAGGGCCCAACTAGGGACCATTGCGGATTTAACACCTCGAATCGGGTTTGAATGTATGAGTATTATGAGTATGTAGTATTTAACAACTAGTAATGACTAGTATGGAAGTCCAAACAATAGATTTTATAGATTCTATATCAGCTGTGATATAGCTGAGTTTTTCGCAATTATCAAATCGATTTTTCGCGAATCTAGATGCGAAATCAAATGATCTGCAAATTCTGAAAACTGTACAATAGTGTGCCATAATTGTCAAGAGTGCGCCATAATTGTCGCAACCAGATAAAGTTCTGATTTTAAGGCAAACAAGAGCAAAAAAAAACAAATTTTTAACTGAATAACATCTATTGTACATTAACAATTATAAAAGAACTATCAAATATGTAAAACTACGGTAATTTTTTGCTATTAGTGCATTTGAGAACGTCTTGTTGAAGAGGCACGCACTCTACTGTCAAGACTATCAAGTTCAACAACTCCTGTAGCACTCGATTCGAGCAAATCCACATCACCCTTATCTACTAAAAGAAAGAACACTTTCTCTTTTCTCTTTTCTCTTTCTCTAGAAAGCAACTAGATGAAACTTGTGAAAAGTTAAATAAAAAATTTTAGTGGTTTCTGAATTCAATGGTGTTGGAAAGACTTTTGTTCCCGATGGATTGATAGCCGGGAATCCAGATGATTTGAGCATTAAGAATAAACCCCCTTTCGATCCCGTCGTCTTTCTACTTTGTGCACTTGCAATTGTGGTTTTTATGATTTCTATTTATATGATCATTTCGTTAGATGATATTTGATCTGTTCATCGTGCGTAAACATTCATACGTAACCCTCATACGTAAACATTCATAATTCCCTGATGTTCACAATTCATCGCAATAGGAAAGAGCGTTCAGAATCATGCTCACAATATCTGCCGTTAATTCTATATTTCTCCTATTCTCAAGTTAAGCATTTGGTGCTCATCAAAACTTCAAATTACATTTTGCTATGTGCAACTCATTTCCCTATAAGAGACAAATGGTTTGTTGTTTTTGTGCTCATTGATTTGATTGATTAATAATAAATGTGAAACTGAGATAAAATCTTTGCAATTAAACCAGAAGTTCGAAAAATCAAAGAAATGATTTCATATCTCAAACCGAGTGATCGTTAAATTCACTCAGTTCGCTAAGTTCTTTCTTTTTTCAAAGTTCATTCACTTGACTCATTTAGAAAAATGGTCGTAGTCGCCATAGTCGCCTTAATATTATCAATTTGAATTCGAAGTTATTCAAGGTTTTTTTCAAACCGGGACTATAAGCTAATTATCAAAAAATAGAGTTATGGAATGATAAATTTGGGGAAGTGAAAAATGAAATGACATGCTAGTACACTTTTTTTTGAAATAATCATGATTTGTAGTGACTATTGGAATTGATACGGTCAATGGCTTGAGGTTTGCGGGTGATGATTGTATCTATTAGGGATTTTATCTATTAGGGTGATGGGAATGAAACCAGCGCTCGCATATCTTTCCAAAAATAAAAGGATTTCAAGCCTCAGCCAATAAGTGTTGTTTACTGTTCGAAAGTTCTGAATCTCCTTTACAAAACAGTGCAGAAAGATTGATTTTGAATTGGATTGATTATTGGGAACCTGGGTGTTAAAAGTAATCGCATGTCGAGTCTCAACCTGCGCCTGCTGGCAACTATCCTTTGATCTTTTCGCTCACGGATCTTTTCGCTTGAAATTTTTCCAGTATATTAAGAATATGCATTACTCAAAAACGACCAGCTTATAGATTCTATCTATAGGCATCCCTTTTTGGGAACTTCTCAAACCGAGGTAAAATTTGAGGCAAGTCTGAAGGTTGCTTTATGGAAACAAATGAAACGGCTCCGTTTTCGTTCTTCAGGATGGCGCAAGCTGCCCCAAGTCAGAAAGATCGATCGATTTTGTGAAGAACAACCTACACTGGAATATTTTTCCTCATGCACCGTAATCCCTGAACGGTGCCCCTTCTAACTATCACTTGTTCTTTTCGCTAAAGGATTTCTTATGTGATAAAGAGTTCAAAGATGAGAGCGAACTCGAGGACGGATTGAACGACTATTTTCGCTCGCACTCGCTTGAGTTTTACGAACGAGGGATTAGCAAAATGCAAAAGCAAAACGTTGGAGAAGAGTTAGAAATTCAGCTGGAATATCATTTGTTTCTATGTGTTGAAAATAAATAAATCAAAATCTCTGGGCTCTTATGGGACAACCTGATATCATTGGGTTTTATAAGATGAGAAACAAATTATTGGGATAGCAAATGACATTTGACAGCAGCTCAAAGATGGTACAGGTTTGATTCAATTTCTTTGCTCTAATTTTCGCTACCCGTAATCATCAAGAGTCATCGAAAAGCGCTCATCTTGGATTCTTCTCCGAGATTTTCGTGTAGGCGGCGACGATTTTCCTAGTGATGCACCGACCGTAATCACTTTACACGCGATAAACAAAAAAGTTCAACAATTCCATTTGTTCCAAGTTCCATCCGAAAGCGGTCTCAAATCAACCAATTATCCAAAATGGGGCAAGAAAACTGAATCTTCAACATTTCCCAAGCAAAATTAGCTAAATTCAAAAAAGTTCAGGTAATAACCAGAGAATTGTACAGAAGGAAAAAGGAAAAACAACAGTCAACTATTACCAGCATATACTTTTATCTGCTTTTGTTGATGAGAATATTGTGAAAATTGATCACCGAACTTTTTGTTCTCTTTTCGCCCAATTAGCTTCGATTATTTTAGAAATCCTCAAGAAAATATGTTTCCTTTAACATTTCTATTCCCATTTCTATTCCCATTTCTACATAAAGGCGCCGTCGGAACTTTTCCTGGATTGTAGAATACGGGCTTTAGTCTCAAACCAGCCGGTTGTTAAACCGATTTCGACCCGCAAAAGATGGAATCACGTCAAGTCAAGGAATAGTCAAGGAGTCTGGACGCGGTCACTAAAGGGGTAGACTTAGTATTTTATTGTCAATTGGATTCTCTAATGTGCTAGGATTGTCTGTATTTCATTGTTTCTATGACCACCAGCGGTTATCGTGCAGATTTTCTGTGCTCAACAACCGATTTAGCTAGTTTTATTTTCTGTTTTACAATCCTGATAAAATATTATTGAAAACTTTAAACTGAATTGGTTATTGGAGAAAAACTAACAGAAAAAGTTGGACAAAGAAAGAAATGAAGGAGTTTAAAATAAGTGAACGTGAACGTGAACGTTGAAGGTTGAACGTGAACGTGAACGTTGAACGTTCAACATGAATGTGAACGTTCAACATGAATGTGAACGTTCAACATGAATGTGAACGTTGAACGTGAACGTTGAACGTGAACGTGAACGTTGAACGTGAACGTGAACGTTGAACGTGAACGTGAACGTTGAACGTGAACGTGAACGTTGAACGTGAACGTGAACGTTGAACGTGAACGTGAACGTTGAACGTGAACGTGAACGTTGAACGGAACGCGAACGTTGAACGTGAACGTGAACGTTGAACGTGAACGTGAACGTTAACGCGAAAGATTTCCAAACAAACAAATGACAATTTTCTAATTTACCGTTCAACTATTCCTCGATTTATGAACAAAAACTTTCGGTTTTCGTTCTCCGATCATTTAAGTGGCCATCTTTTCCGAAGAATCACTTGAATTTCGACAATCTCCTCGTCGATTTCCCTCCACCCGACGAGGCGTCTCTTCATTCCCTCAACGCTTCTCATCATCACCTCCAAATCCCCGCTTTTCCTCACAAAATACCCAATCGCCCGCGTCTGGACTTTCTTTTGAAAAGTGGACAATATCCGCTCGAATTCCCCAAACTCTTTCAATTTCGGCTCATCTTTCTCGTAAAAGCACAAGTCGAGAAACTCGACCTCATCAAGCGATCCGGCTCTCCATTCCAACAGATACATTTCAAATTCCTCATCATTGGGCATGGCTCCGAGGATCTCATGTAAATTCTCGTCGATCATCTCGACACAATTTCTATTCAGGCGATATTTGAGCATCAGGAGGTCAGCAGAAATAGTCGCGTGTTGTCTTATTAAGACTCTCATTGATTCGAGCATCTTTCCCTTCTCCCCATAGTGAAATTTGATAGAAATTGGCGCTTGTTTGACTTAAAATTTGAAAATCGGGTTCCCAATTCAGGAACTCATAGATTTTACAGCCATTCAGCTGAGGTTTCTCGAATATTTTCCGATTTTTCTCTACAGAACCTCCAAAAAGCTTTAATTTATCGGAAACCATTGGGCAAAAGTGGTCAAATACATCAATAAAGCATCACTGATCACTCGCATTCTTGAAACAATGCCAATTCTCGAGAAAAACTTCCTTCTTTTAAAAAGATCCGAGAAAGTTGCCGGTATATCCTCGATTGAGGTGTAAATTCCACGGACAA